ATTTTAAAATGAATCGCGTTAATCATTTGATTTCGTTGGATTTGTTTGGTATTGGTACGTTTGTATTAAGGTAACAAACAGAGTCAATGAATGTTTAGGTGCTGGTAATTTAGATTAATGTAACAAGCTTATGTTAGCGAATAAAATATTTAACGGTATTATAATAATTAGTTTTTTTTTTTGTTAACTGTTTTTTTTTTATTCAAACATAAGAAAATAATTTGTTTACAATAGACGCCTCGAAATTTGGCATCATTGGAAAGATAAACGTACTAGCATTATTATGTTTTGTGAAAAGTTATTATTGATTGTCTCACTATGATATTTTTAAGTCGAAAAAAAATTGTATGAGTTTATAAACAATTTTACTTTACAAATAAAACAAATTAGAAACACATTAGTGGTTTGATAACTAGCGAAGTAAATTGCTTTGAATTTTCACTTAGACCTTTCTGAAAAATCGTACAAGACATGTTAGATATGATATGTGTGACTTTCGATTTATTCAATTAAACGCAATTTACGAGTGTATGTGCACATTGAACAGAGTTTATGAATATTGCATCATATATAGAAGTTGACGTACTCGATATTAATATTTTAGCCAAGAATAAAAGTGCTTTAATTGTACCAGAATTTTATTTCTCAATTTCTTGGTTCAACTATCACTTTAAAAATTTAACAGAATCCTAATTAAGTATTCTATTATTTGAATTTTTGCAACTACTTTTTAATATGCAAATTTATGCTAAACAGCAATTTGATCAGTCTTGTTTTTTTATATGATCTGACCATTGGTGCAGTGGCCAGGTCGCTATAAAAATTATATTCAATAATACTTATAAATATAGTATACAAGCAATTTTTTATATTCATAATATTCGATATTAAAAAAAAACTAAGAAGAATAAACAATAAAAATAATAATAACCTCAAATATTTAATATAAAGAAAAAAAACTATGGCAACTATGGTCAGCTACTTAGTTAAATCTCTATGACGTAATGAAAGTAGGGCGGCATTGACTATCTATGATATCATGCACTAGTTCTATGCTCCTAGGAGTGAAGAAGAAAAATAAAAAAACTTTTTTTTTTTATATAAAATTGTTTTAAAAATTATAATTAAATGAAGATTGGTTACAGCTAAAAATAGCAAAGATCGAAATTGGTAGCCCTTAATTTTAAATCAAATTTTAATTTTCGAAAATTTAACTAAACACGTTTTTGATGAGTGTGTTTTTACGATGATCTGTTTTAATGCCATATCTATCAGGCCATCAAGCTCAAAGAGCAAATGAAAAATAAACTCCAAATTTATATGGAGTTTAAATGGAAGGGATGTTGGAATTTATTTGTGTTAAGAAAATTGATGAACAATCTTTCTTGTCTTTGGACGGGTACACTTAATTACAGATTAAAATTTTTGAATAAAAAATAGAATTTAAAAATAAATTGAAGAAAAAGCAAAAATATAATTATAATCTAGATGGCTTGTAAAACTATACTAAATAAAAAGAGAATCAAGAAGAAAACTCAAAAATTTCTCAAAAAAAATTAAAAAATTATTTCAATCGACATACTTCGAAAACATAAAACATTAAGAATTGTATTTGTATTTTGTTCGGACTCAAAATTTCGGGAAATAATTTTAGCTTGGGGGGTTGATAGATATATATGCCATTAATCTGTTTATTAGTTTTTTGAGAAAGAGTAAGATTTTAAATTAGAAAATTTTGGACAAATATGCAAAATAAATTTAAAATTCTTAAATTTAATTTAATAAACTCTTTATTTTGAACAATTAATAACTAAATTTAGTTATTAAATTCTAACAATTAATGACCAATCTTTCGTTTAATGATTTTATTATGCAAAGGCTTAATATTATATAGAATTTTATAATTAGGAACGGTTCAATTAATTGTATAATGAGCAGTTTAATGTTACATTGCCTTAATGTGTGAATATGTTTTTTTTTTTCTTAAATTTTTTTTATAGTCCATTTAACTCTTTAGTTAATTAAAGAAAATATTTATAATAAAAAATTACGGCAAATATTACTTAGAATCATGAAATGCAGATTTTTTTTTTTAATTTTTCTTAATCTTATTGTTAATAATAGAGTAAATTTTATGCAGTTATTAAAATATTTGCAAATATATAATTAATTTTTTAAGTTAAATTAGTTTTTTAAGTTACTATATTATTCAAATTAATATTTGAACATTTACAATAAAATAAAATACAATAGATGGTAGAGTAAAGATTGTGAAAAATTATAGGAAAAAAGGGGGGAAAATTGTGAAAAGAAAATTCACAAAAAAAAAAAATTCTTGTTTAATTTATTTAGAAATTTTGTTTTAAAATCAAATTTTCTAGTAGTACGTCTATATGTAAATTAAGATTAAAGGAGTTTAGAATTGCAATTGTGCTTATATTTCTACTCAACTCTAGATGCAATAACGTAACGCAACAACACAAAATAAAAATATCAACGTCGTATACAAAACACTGACAATCGCGTGCTTTTCGCACGTTGATTTTTTTTTTAATTTTCATTTTTTCTTTACACTTTTTTTTTGTTGTTCATTTTGCTTTTGAGATTTTCATTGCGTGTTGTTCTTTATAAAATTATGTAGTAAAATTACTAAACATACATAATTTTTTATTTTGTTAGATTTTTTTTTAATAGCATGGAATTGTTAAAGTTTTATAACAAAAACGTTTTTCTTAATTAGGGAATTGAAATCATGCTTTGACCGCTGCGGGCGTAATAATTTATGCGTTAAGTTTTTGTTAAATAAAAAAAAGAATTGGATTTGAATTGATATTTTGATTTTAATTTTATATTTTCTATTTTAAAAATATAAATTGGTTACAAGAATTCATACATACATTTTGTATTACAAATATATTTACAAATGTTGTATAGGAAGTGATATTTTAAAATTTTCTTGTTTTGTACAATTTTCTAAATGAATTTTCGAATAAATTTGCTGTAAAGAAATAATTTTTCGTTTTTGTTTTATTTTTTTTTTTTAATTTAAATGCAAATATGATATTATGCACATTTTTTTATTTAATAAATTCTTTAGAAATGTAATTTATAATTAGATTAATTATATTAAATCTTAGCAAGTGCCTCTTAAATTTTTCTTTTATTTCCAAGTGATTTTGTTGTTTACTGAAATAAATGCAATTTACATACAAATTATATTGGGCTAAAAAGGTATTGTATTTACATCATATATTAGACTTCAAGAAAGCAATTTTTAAATTCTCCGATAAAACTGGATTTCTAATTAGTCAGTCATCCCATGAAAGCATTCTTAATTAATTAATTTTAAAGCGAACTGATTTTTGTGAATGTGATTTTAATTGACAATGAAGCTTGGTCGCTTGAAATTTTTATCAGACGAACTAGATTCAATACAATATCATTAATTTTAATTTGTTATTAAATGCCATTTGAGTGCCAGTCATTTAATGAAAATGCTTGCGTTTGCCGATACATAAAATGGTTTGCTCAACTTAAAATAGAAGATAAGTAGAAATTAAGGTTATTTCATTGTCAATATTATGAATCATTTAATTTTTAGGGAAAATACTATCGCAAGTTCTGTAATTTTTCTAAACTTCAATTACAAATTATAGAAAGACCTTAACTATTTTACGAATTTTTCGAAGGTTTATTTTGCCTTTGTGAACTTCCTTGATTAGATATGATGTCTTTTCTTGCAATATTACGCGAGTTTCGAGGTGTTCATTGATGGTAAGCAATTATAAAAGGTGGTAAACAAGGGGTTGATTGATCATATTAGATCAAACTAAATATACACTAGAGTTTTATTACACTACATGTTATGTAACGTTACCGATTGAGAAACACTTTTATATTGAGATTACATATGTGATAAGAAATTATGTAGAAAAATATATTTTTTTTTTCTTTTCTTTTCTCTATTTATTTGAAATTTATTTTTGAGTTATAAATTTCATAGAGAATTATATAGAGAAATGTTACTGGTCATTAGAATTTATCGTTACAATATTATAAATCTTTTTTCTTTTTATACCTACTTTCTTATATTTTTAATTTAAATGTTCCATTTTGCATTTGAAAACTTGAAATGTTTATGAAGTTCATGCAACTCAAATTGTTACAATATGACGTTAATTATACCGTAAGTTTGTTAACAATAATTTTATTGTTTAAATGCTATTTAATTTTTTAATTTTTTTTTATAGTGAATGTACAAATTAATTATAGAAAAAATGTAGCGCAGTAAAATACTAAATCTTTATTACATTATTACATTTTATATGTATGTATGTGTAAATAAATGTAGTGTTGATGAGTGTGTAAATGCAGTAGATATTTTTCTTTGAATAAAATTGAAATATTAAAGAGTAGATTTTAACGAATGAATTGTGAATAATTTAAAAAGAAACATCAGCATTATAGTGTAAACGATTTCGAGTTTTTGAAGGAATCTTTTGAAAATTTAAAATATGAGATCTGGATTTTTTTTCGCAAATGCTCTGTCCTTGCACTGAAAAGTACCATAAATGAATTTGACCTTGTAGTACTTCAGTTTCGGAGGAGCTGTGTTTGTATTAGACATTAACATATTTTAAGTTGTCACATTAGCAAGAGAATTAAGATTAACATAATTTTTACAGAACTAAAGACACTGGTCACTCAAGATTTTTACTGTACAATGTTTGAAATTTTGTATAAATTAAAGGTTTAAAATTTTAACACGGCAACACTTTTCGCTATGGAAAGGAATTGTTTTTGGAAAAAGGGTTTTCATATAGCATGTTTATATGTAAAAACTCTTGTTCATTAAATTTACGCGTTATACTTTGATTCACTCATGCCCCTTTATATATGCAATTTTTATACTTCTCTTATATTTTTAAAAATTTTTTTATATTCACGAAAATTTTAATTTATTTATATTTAAAAAATAAACTATGTTTTTGTTTTTACAGGTGCCAAAGATGAAGATGGTAATAGTATTAAAAGTGGTATGGGTTTAAGTGGTACATCAGGTTTAAGTAAAAAACAACGTAAAGCTAGAACAGCATTTACTGATCATCAATTACAAACTTTAGAAAAATCATTTGAGAGGCAAAAATATTTAAGTGTTCAAGATCGTATGGAATTAGCAAATAAATTAGGATTAAGTGATACACAAGTTAAGACATGGTATCAAAATCGAAGGTAAGTTCAATTTAAATGTTATTAATTTTAACCTTCTCCTAATTAAGAATCACCATCCCGTTGTACACAATATTATGGAATCTTGCATTCTTAGTTTGCGATTTTTTAAATAGATAAAGAATAAGATTATTTATATATCTACAATAATTTTGGTAAAATTTCAAATTTTAAACAAATATTTTAGTATTATCCAGAAATCCAATATAAAATCGCCATTACTATTTTTAATAATAAAATTGTAATACTCTTAATGAGACTTTAATATCTAATTTATATTTATAATGCTCTGCCTCTTCATAAAAAATAACATAATCAATAATACTTAAACAACAATTAAAAGTAAGAACATCTTGGCAACCCATTTCGTTGATCAATAAAACCAAAAAAGGAAAAACAAAAAATACTTAAAAAAATAAATAAAAAATGGCGTGGGAAATCGATTTCATTTAAACCATTTGATCAAAAACAAAAAATTATTTTTGTAGTTGGACGACGTTAGAAGACATGTTTAAATGCATTAAGAGAACATTAAATAAAAAAGTGTGTGTGGATAGTTTTATTTTATTGGTTTTATTCGCTTTGTCACGTAATTCAATCCGCCGTTTAAAATTTCTTTTAAAAAAATTTGTTCGAAGTAATTCACCGGCTTGAAAGTTGTCCAAATGACCGTATCAAAAATGAAACGGTTCATTAAATTTTTAAAGGGATTTGTTAAATTTTTTTTTTTCTTTCTTATTTCATGTTATTCAGAACGCTATCATTGGAAATTAATTAAATTAATTTTTTTTTTGTAAATACCTAAAAAGTAGGTAAAAAGATGACTATAATAAAATGGAAGCCAACATCTTAAATTGGTACTAAATATATTGTTTGGCTTATTAGTATAGATCATATTGCACATAAGTAAATGAAAATATATAAGGTGAGCAAGTTTTGGTGAATCTTGTTTTAAAAATATATTTTGAATAGAAACACAGTCATATTATAGAAAAAATGTGGCTAAAAAATAAATAAGTAAATTAAATTAAAGTAAATGAAGATAACTTCAATTTCAGAATTTAAATTTTAAAATTATTGGACAAAATAAAAGTGCTCAGAGCACTATAATCCTGCAGATTGGGTAATGTTAGCAAACGCCTCCTTCATATAAATTGTGGAAGGTTATTTGATACCGAAAATATTTTTCGGTTTCCGAATGTTTCCGAAAATACTTAGAACATCAGCAAATTTTAATTTTTAAGACTTACTCATGCTCTTAGCGTTAATGTATTCGGCAGTATTTAGAATTGGGATTTTTGGTGCCACTTCCAAACATTTTCGAATCTGGGAAAAGACTTTATTTTCAGGCTTATACGGTTTTACGAAATTTGAAGAAAGCAACTAACATTGAATGATTTTTTGTTAATAAATTAATTTTATAATTTTTAATAATTCGATTATTAAAAAAATCTAAATAAGATTATAAATTCGGATACACCCTGTTTATACAACAACAAGTGACTAAAACAAACAATTTTCTATCTGTTATTCGAAATATATCACGTTCATAATTAAAATTTTTATGTCAACCAATTCAAATATAGTTTACAATTAGAATTAATGTTATAGTAAGTGTGTAAAAAAATAAAAAGAACTTTAATTACAAAAGAGACGCATACGTGCGAAGAATTACACATTTTTTTTTTGAAAAATTTAATTCCCTTCGATTTAGAAATTTTTTAACTTCGGAATGTTGTTAAAAATTAATACATATTTACATATGTTCTTTAAGCAGCTAAGAATTGTATTATTATCTATGTATTTGTAATATTTCTTATATAGAAATACACTAATTTTATAAATTGAGTAGGGAAATAAGTACAATTTTACGTTCAATTGTACGTTTGAGAAAAATTAAATTATTTTCAGACTCTATTGCAGATTGTATAGATTGCATGAACAAGGTGACAGTTCATCTCGACCTACCATTAGTTGGATAAATTGTGCCTCCTTTTCAGACTCAAGTTCAGAGTTAAGCATACAAAGTCCAAGTATGCTGCGATAATTTTAAATTTTATTGATTAAAAAATGCATGTCTATGTTTCAAATTAAATAATGCTGTGATTTGAACAGAATTTCTAATAATTATTTTTTTTTATAATTTTAAATATTTTTGAGTTTGTCATATTGTTTTGATCATATACGCTAAATGCAATATTGCTTGTATTAAGCAAGTAATTGAATTTGTAAATGATTTGCGGTTTTCTTACGTACCTAATCTTTAAGGAGCCCTTCTTATTTAAAATAAATTAATCACATTAGTAAGACTAAAGGTCTAGTTTTTTAGTTTTTTTTTTTTATAAATAAGGTTTCTAATTTAGTTTCAGAGTTGGAATTTCCGTTTCTTCTTTCCAATTTTAATTAAAATGTCGGAATATTCAAAAATTCTATTATTTTCGGATATCATCAAAATTTTATGTACAATATCAGTACAATTTTACCATTTAATTCTCATCTCGCCTTTTAAAACTGGTTGATTTTTCAGTTTTCTTGTTCTATTGCATATTACCGCCATTAATTACTACTTGTAATTTTATCACATTTGATAAGATTTAAAGTGAAATAAAAAAAAATTCTCAAACATTATAAGAATGGTTACTAATGACGCCTGGATTTATTGCCTATTATGCATCAATTCTATACTGTTTCAAGCCTTTATCTTCTTGATATATGAAAGAGAATATTAATACAATTGAATGCTTCCTCATCATATTCATTTCAAATTTATGTAAATTTCGTTTTGACACACCTCTTTAGATATCTTTTTTTTGTTTTTTATTTTAAACGCTTAAGTTATTTTCTGTTGTTCAATCAAACGTGAATTTTGTTTTTTTCTTCTTTCTAGTTTTTTTTTTTTTGGTTTTGGTCATATTGTAAAATTTTGTTAGAAGAACGCGTTTCTTTTAGAATTGCGCATGATTACAAATTAACCTTTGTGCTTTTTGTTTTCCGTTTTTTTTTTTGGTATTTTACACCGATTGTTAAACGTTTTTTTTTAAAGTTGGTTTATTTTTTTCTCTTTCATTAGTTCTGTTTTTGTTCGTATAGCTACTATGCTAAATTAAATGGTGATTCCAACCAATCGTCATTTAACGTACATTTAAAACTTTTATAGTTATAATTTTTATTTGTCTGATTGTGTATACGTTTATATGCAGAATGGGTTAAAAAAAATTTAAAGAACAAGCAACGAATAAAAAAAATTAAATCTCTTAAGTTATTTTTTTAAAGCAGGGAGTTGCGTTGCTGCGCGTATATTGTCTTTAAAAGATGAAAAATAAGGAAAAAACTATGAAGAAGTTGAAGAAGTCAGAACAACTGCTGTGCAAGGTCTTTGTTTTTTAAAGAGTTTTTATTTTTTCCACTTTGTTTTTTTCATTCTTCTGACCAGTTAAAATAGTTTTGAGCTTTGTGCTTTTTGTTTTAAACATTATCAGTTAAATATCAGTTAAACAATGAGAAATGATGACTTTTCAACTTATTTATGAGTGTATTTTAAAGTACGCGCGATTTTTGGTTTTTTCTCTTCCATTTAAAAGTTATACTTTGAAAAATTTTGCGTTATTTTAAACAGTATGTATAAATAGTAGTATTGTGATAAAAATACACGAAAATTGTGTAAAATTTCAAAATTTCCTTATGTAAATTTGCACTTTTAGTAGAGTTCAAATGATTGTAGATTTATAACAGCATTCATTATATTTATTTCTATAAATTTGCAATCTACTCAATTGACCTATCGGCTTTGCTAAGTGGGCTATATGATAAATTTATGAATTAATTGCAAAATAGAAAACTAAAATTATTAAATTATTTCACATAATTTAATCTCACCTGTTGGTTTCTGGTGGCAAATTTACATCTTATCAGCAAATTTAAAAATTTATAATCTTATGAGCAAAAATGCTTAAGGTGGGAGCATACTCGTATTTTTGTTTCATTTTTACACTTTCTTTTGAAAATAAAACTTCTCTTTAATTTTAATGATTTTATTTGTGGAAATCTTTCAATATTTTACACTGAAGAGAAATGAAAATCTCTTGTATAATATCACTTCCAATTTTCTTTGAGTGTAATGTTTTAAAGTCTGTGATATTTTAATTTTTTTTATGTTTTAATTTTTCAGAAATTTTTTTTTCTAAAATAATTTTTAATTTTACATATTTACTTTTTAGTTAGTTCCATTATTTTTTTACATATACTTGTACATTTGTACATAAATGGGTACACAAAATAGTTTTAAGCGTTCCCATTAAACATTAAATTTAGTAAAAGCTTAGAGTTTTGTAGAATTTTTAAAAAAGTACGAATAATTAATTTGTGTTTTAATTTTTTTTGGGTGGCATTTTAAAGTTTTTGTTTCACAGTAGTTTTAAATAAAAAATTTTATAAAACGTTTTTGTTCATTTAGACTTTTGAATTTTTTCCTCATGTTTAGGGTTTAGAACAAGAGTGTTGAGTACTATGATTTTTATAATTTTTTTGTTTTTCAAAAAATTAATTAAGCGGATATTCATTATGGCAGTGGTAATTAATTTCCGTATATATTTTAATTCCTTTTTTTAGTTTATTTGAAATGGATTATGGTTTGCTTAATTAGGTGATGCGTACAGGTCAAGGTTTCATGTGCTCTAAGGTTATTTTATTTGTTTAAAATAAATATGGTGGAAAAAACTGGAAATAATAGAATAGATTTAGAAAATTTTAACAAAATATTTGAAATACTCGTATTCTAAAATAGAAAAGAAGATTTGAAATTTCCATTCGTTCAGATTGACTCATACGCGATTAAATTTATCTGTTTAAGGTTTGTTTATTGGATCATCCTGTGCACATACCAAAAGCGGTTCATTATAATATTGTAATAAAAAAATTTGAAAACATATACACTTAAAGAATTTGAACTGCTTTGTCAAAAATTTAATCTTTGAATCAGCGCTGGATTTACCATATAAGAGTTT